TGGGGAAGTGCATAGACCAGTCCACATGCGAGCGACACAGGGTACTGCATCAGTGGTCGCTCAAGGGGTTACAATGGGCCTGGATGCAGAGGTGGAAATCAATTATCACAGCTAATCGCTACACGCTGCTGAAGTCGGCTTTCTTGGGCTTGAACCGCTTCGTTGTAGGCTCTCTGTCCGTGTTCCGGTTGGCAAGGCTGGCCACCGAAGACGCAGCCTCGGGCGAGGAGGGGATGGCCGGCTGACTCTCTTGGTTGGTAGATGTGGGTAGCATTTGAGTGAACGTATACGTTGGTACCCAGCACGGGCCGAGCCAGTAGAAGATCCTAGGAAAATCACACAGTGTCGACCGGCACCCAAACTAACCAATTCTCTTAGTTGAAACGCTTGCACTGATCGAAGAATAACAACATGATACGCTTCAATTCAACTGGCAAAAGCATGCTGCGCGAACTCAAAGTCAGCTTCCTCGAATACGATGTCCTCCTCCACCGCTTCCGAATTCTCCACGTCTTTCTTGTCGGGCTCATGCTCGCTCTCGCTCTCCTCACTCGAGGACGAGACGAGCAGCTCAGGGGGCTGAAATAAACAAACAGATGGCAATCAGTACAGTCCCAGCCGCCTACCACAGTGACATCTGCTGGCTTAGGTGGGGAAGGACATTCCCCTGCATGGACTCGTCGTACAGCAGTTATCGGCGTTGCAGGGAGAACATCCACTAGGAAATCAAAGCACGGCGATCTACCTGAGACGTAGAGGCTACCCTCCTTGATAGAGAAACACTACCTAGAGCTTCTGTGAGGTCATAGGCCATAAGACGTCGTCGACACCGCGCCACTGAGGGGTCCACATACGCCATCTCAGAGGTCATGTACCTGACCATCTCGACCAGTGTGGGAATATATGTTGGGTTCACTCAGCTGAGCTAAAGATTCTCCTCACTACATCATTGAACTCACATACGACTCAGAGTGGAAGTGTGCGAAAACCAAAGACACTCCCCTGCATTTTCCTCAGAATGTCGTCATTGGCATCAACACATGTAGTTGACCATGTGCATATTTTCCTACACTGGTCTCGACAAGCGACGAAGGAGCGGTGTCCACCAGACAACATTCACGCGAGTACTCGAGATATAG